TGATGTCCGGAGCAACATGCATGTATGGTAGGAGGTGGCCAGGAAAAGATCAATGACATTCATCTTGTGTGATTATCTACCACCATATTTTTCATTGATTTTGCAAAATTCTTAACTATTTTTTTCTGCAGATATTATTTCTGCTCCATTCTTTCTTTCCTCACCTTTGGGATATCAGTTATACATACCATAAATCTTTCATTGTGTCCATGTGTTTCTTATGCTCTTTTACTTTTTATTTTTATTTGTTTTTTGTGCTCTGTGCTTCAGACTAAAGTTTTTCACTGATCTATATTCTAATGTACTAATCGTAATCCACCTGCATTTCCAGTTACTTATACTCCAGTTTACTAATCCTGTCTTCCTCTACATCTAATTAGCTATTAAATTCACCTATTGAGTTCTTAATTTTAATTGGTGTATTTTTCAGGTATATAATTTAATTACATTTTAGTAGATTCTAGGTCTCTGATAATATTCTCTATCTTGTCATTTGTTTTCTTGAACATTAACTTCCCAAATTTAAAATCTTTCTCAGATATCTAGTATCTGAATATGTGATAGAACTATTTATATTGTATTTATTTTCCTCTTGATCTTACCTCTTATAATTCCTGTAACACTGGGGGTATAAACAAGAAAGTAATTAGAATGGTAACCTAAAAGTAACCTAAGAGGGTGGGGTAGAAATGGGGATAGGTGAGGGCAGAAGTTTCAGCAAGCAAGTCTTTTCAGCACGTTTTCTTTATATTTCTTTACTTTCTAAGCATGTAACTATACTACCCATTGAACAGATAAAGTTTGATCTTTTTAAAAAATACAATAAAAGTCAAAGCTGAAGACATGAATTGTGAATCATTATCAAAGAAATGCTAATTCAAGTCATGGAAATGGGATGGGTTGGAGTATTTGCACAGACCAATGCTCCTACAGAGGATAACTAGAAAAGCAGGGTTAGAAGATAAAAATCATGTATTTAAAGGCAGAAAGCAGCAGAGGACTAGAGGGATTAAAATCCCAGAGCGAGCAGAGGCTTTTAGAGGTGCGTTAGGATCTAAAGCTGTCCCTGAGGTTCTTGCCAACTCTTGATGAGGGATAAAGACTAGGTCCAACTTTTGGTCCTGTCAGAATGTCCACAGAGACATTTGGCCCACTCCAAAAGGTCCTTTATATTTGGTCCTGTCCAAAACATTCACAGAGATATTTAGTTCGTAGTTAATATAAATTCCACTCTTCTGCAATTCGAACTCAGACCCATCTACCTCATCTATATGTCATTACCAGATAGGCTACCAAGGCAGCAAGGACTATTATTGTCAATACAGCCACAACACAATTATTGGAGCAATAAAACATGATAGTATTTTTTATGTATTAATTCTCTAAACCAAAAGTAGAAATAAACATTATGGGCTGTTTGAACCCAGGGATGTTTTCTAAGTGTGGTCATTTTTTACAGGACCTAGTATCAAGGACAATTTGGTGTGGACCAAACATGTCTGTGGACGTTTTAGACAGGACCAAATGTCCTGCAAGGTTAGGTCCAGGTATAAGGTCACTACTGGGAAATAAGCAAACTGGCAGCGATTTGGTGATCACATGGGACTAAGAATGACAAAATTCCTTTTCCTCTGGAAAAATTTTCTGAAGTATGAAGCTGTGTAAGGCTTAAGTCCAAACAGAAAAGTATCATGATTTGTCTGTATCATTTTGTCAATGTTCTCATTAAGAAAACTATTAATAGTTCTTCCATTCTTTCCTTCCATCTCTCATTATTTTAACATGTTTATGTCTTCTCAACTGTGATAGTCACCATAGATTCAAACAGGAAGGTAGATGAGCACTTTAAGGGAAAGAGAAAATGGAATAAAAGTGGAATAAAAGTGACCAGGTTCCTGCTGCCTTGGTGGACATTTGAGGGTGAAGAGACAGAAAAACAAACAAAAAAAAGTACTTAAAAGTAAAATTAAAACATGCAACAAAGAATATAAAGAAAAAGTCAATGAGAAAATTATAGGATGATCTAACTTAGTCTGGGGATTCAGAGAGGATATGGCTGAAGAAATGACACTTAAACTAGACCATAAAAGATGGGGGATGGTTATCGCACACAGTGGACTAACATGTGCAAAGATTCTGAAATAGCTTTAGGAGGCTATTGTATTTTAGAATGTCATGAACAAGGAGGAAGATAAAGGCAAAATGAGGTGGCATGGAGTGAGACTGACGAAATTGGGCGACCCTTGTAAATTTTCTTTGGCAATTCTAGATTTTATCCTAAGAACAATGGGAAGCCATTAAAGGATCCAAATGGAGCAGTGAAATAACCAGAATTTCACCTTAAAAAAAATCACTGTGACTCTTATGTGGAGAGCAGACCAAAAGGATAAGGGTCGTTGTTGAGAGGTAAATTAGGAAGTTCTTTCTTTCTTTTTTATCTTTTTTTTCAGGGAAGAACTACAAGTTCGGGATAGGCCAGTGGAATTAGAGATGAAGAAAATCAGAGAAAGAAATATGAAAAGAATGATTTCTAAAAATCACAGTATTTGACTTGATTGTCTGTGGTGGATGAGGAAAAGGATGGTATAACGGATGCATCTTTCCAGTTTTGGATTTGAAAACTGCATGGATGATGGTTTCACTTCTAATGATAGGGAGTGCTAGGGGAAGAGTAACTTTTGTGCAAGGCAAGAACTTAAGTCTAGTACTGATGTCTTATATGAAAGGTATGGACTGTAGAGGCTACCTTTTACATTTTGGAAGAGAATTAACAAATTTTTTGTTTAGTCTATGAAATTCTTAAATCATCCTATGATAGTCTTACTTGTTAACAGAATACAAAAAAGCCTTCACTTTTTTGTTAAAACATTGTAGTTTTTCATTAAAATTTTGTTTTTTTAAATATATCTATTATTTATTTATTTATTTATTTATTTTTAAGATTTTTTTTTAAAATTGGGGAATTGGGGGATGGGAACAGCGCTGGGGAATTGGGGGAAGGGGAACAGACAAGTTGCTGTCATTTTGTTCTTCAGTCTAGTTGTGGAGGATGTTTCTCTGGCCCAATTTGGCACCATCATTGTGCTCTTCCAGGGCAAGGCAGATCAGTCGCCGGCTTCTGGACGGCCGCTCACAGCGGCTGCTGGCTGCTCATGCTGGCTGCTGGCTACACATGGTAGCCCACGGCAACCCACTGCAGCAGGGGCTGCAGCCTACGCCATTGCCAGCAACTCACGGCAGCCCAGCTTCAGGTTGAGCTGTTGTTCAGCATCTTAGTTGTAGAAGGCAGTGTCACTGGTCCTCATATGTGGGATCTGAACCGGGGCCCTCTGGCGTCCCAATCCAGCTGTTAACCAACGCACCACTCGGCTGGCCCTATTATTTATTTTTGTGCTGTTCATTTAACTGATTTTGGAAAACCCTGGGAATCATTAATCTTTTCATCTTGTTTCATATATCAGTTAGAAAGAGGGTTATAATCAAACTGAAGATACATACATACTTCTTAATGATTCTTATGAGTTATGGTCTGCTCTATAGATACTTTAGAGAGCATCAGTATCATATTACATATAAGAAAATTATTTATGCTATTACAAATGGAACAGAATCAATTATAGGTGGGCATATGACCATTTCCACTTTATACCAAAAACTTTATACTAAAGTGTGGTTCTAAAATGTGACACTTTACTTTTTTTATCTCTCTTTAATGACTCTGCTTATAATAAAAGTGTATATTATTTTTTATTTAAAAATATCAGTATCATTTGAGAATTGGTTATTTTCATTTCCTTAGTAGTAAACATTTGAGGAAAGAGTATATATTTTTTTCCAGGTTTATATAGGTGGAATTATCTCACTGTTTGAGAAATAGTCACAAAATACTGTATGTATGCTACATTTTAATAAATTGAGTAATTTTGGCTGCATATATTGCTCATACTAGTTTGTTGTTCGAGTTCTAGAACAAGCAAACAAAGGTAAGCATAGTTTATTTAAAATACACATTTAAAATGTAGTTTTTATTTTTTACCTCCTAAAATGTTGATTATTTTTTATTGTATTTTCAATTTATTTTTCAAACTACAATATGTAATGTTATACATTATTTTCCCCTTTTAAACAAATTGTTTGATCAGTAAGACATACAGAGATGTTTGTTTTTTATTTGGGAAAGTAATTTTTCATTTATTTTAGCTTTTGAATAGTTAGAGTAACAGTGAGAGGTCCAACAGGAAAAGAGATGACACCCTCAAATTAGGACAATTCAAGTAAGGTGGAATAAAGTGGCTATTTAAAATGTGGGCAGGGTTTAAGGAATCCCAAGGCATACATAGTTGGTACCTCTGGTGGGTTACCACCTCATGCCCAAAGGACAACAAGGGTAGGAAGGAGAGACACCTGTAGGGGTGACATCTTTGTCTAGGCACCCAGTCAGCCTGACATAACTCTGCAGGGATGGAACCTGGGAATGAAGACCTTGACCTCACTTTTCTTCCTCACCCCATAGCACAACATTGGCAGAACCCAATCAGAAGCCAAAAGGCAAGAGAGCCTATTGATGTAGTCCATTTAGGTCAGCCTCCCAGGGCACAGAGCAAGGTAGAGTAAGGTAGAGAGTGGATCTCGCAGGGGCAAGTAGAAGAATCTGAAGCAATGGGTGTGCAACACATAATGACAAAAAGGAAGTGAGAAAGCTAGTGCTATGATTTCTTTTTCAGCAAAGGAAAAGGAAGCTGGGGCAGAGGGTTTTGGCCATGACTGCTTCCTCTTTGTAAAGAGCAAAAAGCTTTGGAATTGGTTGGCAAGGGGCAGGATATGGAGAAATGGGAGGAGTTGCAGTTTTTTAATTCAACCAGATTGAACTCTGTCAACTGGCTGAAGATTCTTAGCCTAATTGATGCACAGGAAACAAAAAATTAACCTTGAACTTGGAAAACATTCTCTATAGCTAATAATGATGATGTTTTGATGATGTTATTGCTATTTACTTGCAGGACTGTATCTGACAAACAGCGTTCTCTGGCCCTGGGTATGACCTATGTGATTTTGAGAGTATTTGGTATGGACTTTTGGCAATCTTTCATTACATTGAAATGTTCGTTTTTTTTTTGATATGTGTTTATGTCTACATGTATATTTATTCAAATAAATAATAATGGTAAACTGAAACAAACAGGTGAATGAATGGGTGAATTGCTTTGCAGAATTTAAGAGACAATACTTAATGTAAAAAGACAATATCTAATGTAAAGCCCATCCTAATTGTCATATAAAATATACATTAATATTATATTCAATTAGAAGAGACAGTCTATTTGACCAGAAGTATGCTCATCAAGCTCATATATAAGTGGTTTAGTAAGATGAAATAAATGCTTAGGTAAGTATAACAACTATACGTTGCTTGCATGTTTGGGAAGTCACTAGGCTAGACTAGTGCTTTTAAACATTTCATTACCAAAGAAATTGAATCTGATGTTTTTAAGTTTTATCCAAATAAAAAATTGGTTCTGCTGAGGATAATGCAGGCTCTGTACTGCAGGCTTTCTTAAAATAGCAAAACCTATTTTCAAATCCACATGAGGACTATATTAGAACCCCTGATTCAAGAAGATAACAAATATTGACGGGGTAAGGAAATAAGATTAAACTGTATTGAAGGCTGAAAGACATGATAAATGGAATCAAAAATGTAGAAAATTTTAAGTGTGGCTCTGATGTGGATCAGAGAAATCATTCTATAGCTAGATCAGTATGTGGGGTTAAAATGAGCTTTTTTAATTGAGAAAAATTGGAGCATATTTTTATGGTGGACAGTGATCCACTAGATAAGGACAGATTTGTAATGGAAGAAAATAAGTATTATAATAGCAAGCTCATAGACATTTTCCTGGATCAGAAAGGAGCCGGCAAAACAGATGCATTTTTGAATGGGAGGAGGTAGCTTAAGATATTTTAGATATAGACTGTCTCTAGATCTTGCAGGGTTTTGGTATCAGAGAATTTTAAGCAGAGGATAGATATTATCTGATTTACATTTAAAAGATAACTCTGCTGTTGGAAGGAGAAATACTTATAGAAGATAATGTGGAGGAAAATAAAATGGAGCCTTTCGATGAAATATGTCATAATTAGATTAAATTGGATTCTGGGAGTTGTAGTGGAGACAGAGAAATCAGCATATCCAAGATATGTTTGGAGTTGCTGTTACAAAAATATGTCATGAATTGGGAAAATATGGTGGGAAATAGAAAAAAAATGAGTGGTAGGCCTAATATATTCACCTTGAACAATTGTAAGCAGAGTGCTAACACTGAGATAGGGATTTCTGGTGTTGGATAGTGATCTTTGGCAGGAATCAAGAGTTGTGAGGCTGTCACTCAATAAACTTAAATTAAAAAAAAAAAAGTTGTGAGGCATTAGGGCCCTGATAATTTCTTAAAGGAGATGGTCAGTCATTAGACATGTTTTTAGAACCTGGTTCTGGTTCTAAAATCTTTGGGATTGCTTTTTTTTTTTTTAATGACTGTTCATTCACTTTTAGCTACAAATGACATTGCTGAGGAGATATTTATTGTCTCTGAGTATACAGAGATTTCCCTCAGGCAGCACACAACTGTTCCTCTGGATATGAGGTCATCTAAATCTAGGGCTACTATTAACATACCAAAGCATTTACATTTTAAGTTATTTTTCTTGATAGCTTGATAAATAACATACTTTAGATTATGAAACTAAAATTTCAGTTATTAAAAATTTCATAATTAGAAATCTTTGGAGATACACTGTGCTCTCAAAATCAGTATTCAGCATCTCCATTTGAAATACTTTCTCCTAAATTTTTAATTAAAAAATTAACAACAGTTTTGAGATGTCAAATAAATAAGAACATGCACACATTTCTAAAAAGATGAAAATCTACCAATTTTTTGTACTTACAGGAATAAGGACTTTTTGAAAACACATTGTTTCTAGTTATTAACAATTCTATCTGTAAGTAAATTCTTAATTTTAAATGATATGTTTACGATGAGGATGACTAAATATATGTTTAATTTTAGGATAAAAATCATTCTGATACCAACCTATAGTGTTTTCATGGATAATTTACAATCATTGCATTTTTCATAGGAAGTATACCTGGACCAATAGTTTTTAAAATGATTGGAGAAACTTCTTGTACCTTTTGGGGTACTGAAGGCTGTGGCAAAACAGGAAGTTGCTGGTTCTATAACACAACAAAAATGGCCTACCTATTTTTAGGAATATGTAAGTGATATCTATTGAAGAAATATAAAGAGATAAAATTGTCTTAAAAACTTATGGTTGTTTATATTGGTATAAGGTACATAATAAACTATGAACAAATGGATACTTTATGATTAAAGAAGCCTTATATTATTATATAGAAAATATTTGGACACTAAAGTATTATAGAATTTATGTAAATATTTGAGTCACTGCATTAAATATATAATTGTTTTAGTTATTCCTGAGTAAAGGGTGGTTATTAGCAGAGTTTCAATTTGGGAAGTAATTTTACCTCTGTACATCTATAACTAAGTTATTTAACCATGTAACCTTTCCATTTCCACAGTAAAAGATGGGGTTATTTAAAAGAATTGTTTTTGCACCCATAAAGAGCATCAAGATACACTTACCCAACTTAAATGTAATTTTCATATTGTCTCTTTTGCTCAGTGCTTGGCACCAAGCTAGTATTCAATATTTGTTGAATATTTAAGAGATATGGGGTATTGGGATGCTGTGGTCAAAGTTTCGGGAAAGACTAGATATGCTTGTATTACTTTGGAAAATTCACTGGGTCTTCCTGGATCTCAATTTGTTCATCTGTAAAATGAAGGTTTTGGACTATATCATTTCTGAAGTTTTAATCATCAGTAACATTAAATGATTTTATTGTATAGATTCTATAGGTGTGATAAATATTTTAAAGTGTTTATATGTTTTGTGATTTTTATTAAGTGGGTTCAGTAATACAAAAAACCACATATGATACTCTAGTATTTAATAGTAATAAATACCTGCTTGATAAACAGTGTACAGCAATGCCTTCTAATTCAGAAGCCAATTATCCAGCAAACTTAGTCAACACTTAAAATCAAAGTGAAACTTAAGAAAAAAATTTAAAAGTCAAAACTGACATTTAAGAAGTCAAAATGAATTTCTCAGAGATAATTCAGCGAAACTGGGCATTGTTCTTGAGGAAGTCCTCTTAAAACAATGCTGAGCATTTTAATTTTTATTTTAGATATAACTGTAACATGCTTAACTATCTTCACACACAGAACATAATAGAACAAATTGATAAACTACTACAGAACCTGCTAAGGAGTTACTAAAAGGAGATAACAATAATAAAGAACATAAGAAATTATAATGAGAGGGCAAACGCAGGAAACTGTAATAGGAATATGCATTCGTGGCAATTTTGTGTAAGCTAGTCTATCGGAAAGTGTATTCCATGAATCATTTGAATCAGGAAAACTTGGAGTGCTTGCTAAAAGTATAAGTTCTGAGGCCCTGACTTAGAACAGCAGGGATTGGTGGTAAGCAGGTGTATTTTTAATAAAGCACCTCAGGTAATTTTAACCACAGTAAACTTTGAGGCTATATGAAAGACTCTAGAGCTGTACAGTCCAATATGGTACACATTAACCACCTGTAGGTAAATTTAAATTAAGTAAAACTAAATGCAATTTAAAATTCAATTTCACAGTAACAATAGCTAACTTTCACATATTTAATGGTCACATTTGACTACGTTACTGGACAGTGCAGATGTAGAACACTGTTATAGTCATAGGACTTCTATGCACACCACTACTCTAGAGCAAAATTATACAACAGGGATCCATGAACCCCAGGAGCCCACATTGAACTTTAGTGTATTTTTGAAATCCTAAAAGTTGTATGCTGTATGTCCAAAAATGTTTTCCCTGTGGAGGAAGGCTGTGGCATTCATCAGATTCTCAAAGGTTTTATCAGCCAAAAAGTTGGTAAAAAAATTATTATATGAATCCATCAGATGCCTTTGGTAGCAAGGAAATTCTTCTGAGTTTTCTCAAATTTTAAGTTTTCATTGGGAAGACTCATTATGTACCTTTTACCTGAAATTAAAGAGTCCATCAGTTCTAGTTTAATGGAAGCAGAGAGATGATTGCTAAGTCTTTTGCAATATTTTTTATTTTAATTTGCCATGTTTACCACTTCATCAAGGTTTTTTTTGTAGAATTTTTATAGAAATATGATATACATTACATATATTCAGTAAAGACTACATATTATAAATGTATAGCTCAACACATTTTTATGAAGTTAACACATCTGTAATAAGCATTCATATCAAGAAACACAGTATATTAGAATTAATAAGTGAATTTAATAAAGTTGCTTAATATACAATCAATATACAAAAATCAATTGTGTTTCTATATACCAAGCACAACCAAATGAAACAACAAGTGTCATCACACCAGTGAAACAGAATGCAGAATCCAGAAACAAACTCACATATGCACGCTTAACTTACTTGTGGCCAAGGAAGGAGACACTGAAAAAATATAGATTTTTTTTTTTGAAGTGGGAAAAAGATGGTATAAAGATGGTCTTTTAATTAAAGGGTAATGGATCATTTTATATATGCATAAAAATGGTATCTTGATCCCTACCTCAAATCATATACAAAAATCAATTCTGTTGTAGATGCATTGCATATCTAAATGTCAAAGATTAAAAAAAATAAAACCTTTGAACAAAAACAGGATAATATCTTCATGGCCTTGGAGTAGGCCGAGATTGCATAAACAGGATACAAAAATGACTAGCTATAAAAGAAAAATCAAACAATTTTAAAATTAATAAATTCTGATCATCAAAAGAACTAAGAGGTAGAAAAGACAGCCACTGTGTAGAAGGCAGTGAAAAAGGTAAAAGTGAAAAAGAACTAAAGTTCAAAATATATAAAGAACTCCTACAAATCAATAACAAGCAAAGGTTAGATAACTTAATAGAAAAGTGTACAAGACTTGAAAGAAACTTCATAAAAGTGGATAAATAGCCAATAAACAATGGAATGAATAGATTGTGATAAAATCAACAATGGAATACTATACAACAACAAAAAGGAAAGGTACACAACTACATAAAATATGGATGAATCACACAAAAATAATGTTGAAAGAAACCAGACATAAATTAATGTGCACTGTATGATTCCACTTACGTAATTTTGACATGCTATGATATACTTCAGAGGCAAACAAAATCAACCCTCCTGGTTGGGTTAGTGAATGTGAGGAAACATGAGGAGGTTTCCTGGGGTACTGACAGTGTTTTGTTCTTGATCCAAATTCTGGTGACACTGTTTAGTTTGAGAAAAATACATCAAGCAGTACTCTAAAAAATTGATATGTAATTAATATACAATTATATAGTATAGATTTTTTTTTAAGATTTTTATTGGGGAACTGGGGGGATGGGAACAGTGCTGGGGAATTGGGGGAAGGGGAACAGACAAGTTGCTGTCGTTTTGTTCTTCAGTCTAGTTGTGGAGGACGTTGCTTCACTGGCCCAAGTTGGCACCATCATTGCGCTCTTCCCAGGTGAGGCAGATAAGTCACCGGCTTCTGGACGGCGGCTCACGTGGCTGCTGGCTGCTCACGCTGGCTGCTGGCTACATACGGTAGCCCATGGCAACCCACTGCAGCAGGGGCTGCAGCCTATGCTGTCCCTGGCGACTTAAGGCAGCCCAGCTCCAGGTCGAGCTGTTGTTGTTCAGCATCTTAGCTGTAAAGGGCAGTGTCACTGGCCCTCATATGTGGGATCCGAACCGGGGCCCTCTGGCATCCCAAGCCAGTTCTTAACCATCGCGCCACTCGGCCAGCCCATATAATATAGATCTTAGGTGTTTGGTCTGAAGGCTTTTGATAATTGAATGCACCTGTGGAACCAGCACCCAAAACAAGGTGTATAAATTTCCCTTATTCCCCTTTCCAGTCAATTTCCCTCTTCCACAGATAAAGCTCTTTCAGATGAGTATTACAATATGTTGGGGTTTTTTTGCCTGTTCTAGAAATTTATGCAAATGTAATATAGTGTATATTGGTTTGTTTGTTTTTGTCTGTGTTGCTTAATGTTGTGCTTTGGGGAGATTCATCCATAGTATTCTATAGCAGTAGTTTGTGTTTTAAAATTTTTTTCTGACAACTATTTCACTTTGTGGATATACTACAGCGTATCCATTCTCGTTAATGTACATTTGAGTTGTTTACAGTGTGTGGCTACTATAAATAAATGTGTACAATATTATTATAAATGACAGACTCATTAATGTTTCCAATTTTATCTTTTGAAACCACTATAATGGATATTGTCAGGTAATTGATATTGTTGCTCTAAAGAATTTTTTTACTTTAATAGGGTTATTTGCTTCCAAAGTTCAAGTACTTTTATATACTACTTATACTATGTTAACTTTCTGAAATTTGAAACATGAAAATGAATCAAAACCTCTGCAAATATCAATTAGTATTTCTTAAAATATTGTTTTTATTTTGAAAATGATGGATATTTCAAATAGAGTAAAGCTGTATAAAGTGACTTAAACAGGTTCCAAGGGCCGGCCAAGTGGCTCAGTTGGTTGAGTTATCTTAAGAGCACGAGCGTTGTGCAACAGAGCTGCTGGTTCGATTCCCACATGGGCCAGTGACGCTGTGCCTGAGCTGAGCTGCCGCTGAGTTGCTAACAGGTGGCAGGATGGCTCAGCTGGTAAGAGCACATGCTCCTAACAACAAGACTGCCTGTTCGATGGTGGGCTACGCCTGCCCACAGCTAAGACTGAATTCAGCACCTTGAGCTGAGTTGCCACCCGGATGGCTCAGTAGATAGAGCATGCACTCTTAACAACAAGGCTGCCAGGTTTGACTCCCACATGGGATGGTGGCTATGCCCACCTGCAACTAAGACTGAACACAGCACCTTGAGCTGAGCGGAGGTGAGTTGCTGATGGGCAGCGAGATGTCGACTGGCGCCTTTTACAAGTAAGATTGAAGAACAACTTGGCCGGTCCCCTTCCCCAATTCCACAACACTGTTCCCCTCCCCCAATTCCCTAATTAAAAAACAAACAAACAATCAAAACAGGTTCTAGTTTCTATTAATAGTTAAGTTTTGAAGGTAGAAATGCATTTTTCTGTTTTTGAATTAATACATACTGTGAAATAATAACCCACCTTACATTTTTCTTGGACTATATGTTTAAGAATTCTAAAAGGTCTTGTAAACATTTTTTTAAAATCTCCTTTAAGTAACTTGATATGTTTATGACATTAATTACATTCTACAAATGGGAAATTGGTACTTTGTAGATAAAATGTACTTGCCTTTCCTTTGGTAAATGGCATTCTTTCCACAAACATTTTTGTTCTAAATAAATTGATGCATCTGATATTACTTTTTATTTTTATTTAGGTTTTCTTTGCAAAGTGTTCACTATCATCTTCACTGCCATTGCATTTGGCCTGTACAAATGTTTACTAAAGGAAAGCAATAACATCATGCCGATACCTTTGAAGAATCTAAAAGAGAAAAAAAAAAGAATTGATTTATAACTGGATCATCATTGTGTAAGGATTACACATTATCAGTCCATCAGTGGAATAGTATATTAATTAAATTTAAATAATCATAATAGTTGCATGTTTAATAAATGAATGTGATTCATAAAATCCTGTAAGTTTTATTATATTTTTAGTACAAATATAATAATATAGTCTTTCTGTTTTGAGTTTTTAAGATATTCTACGATAAACATTTAATACTTTCAGTAGAAAGATAATACACTTTGAAAGAAAAGAATGAAGTGGAAGTGGGAAAATACACATAAATTAATTCTGATTACAATGATATATTAGTTATTGGCCTTTGGTAATATGGGATTACTTAGGTTTCATATGTTTTATTCTTGTTACTTTTCATTTGCACTGTGGATGTTTATTTCTCAATAATTTTTCAAAATAAAATAAAATTTGCCAATCCAGTTCGTATAATAAAAATTTAAATGAAGTTATATTTATTCTCCAAAAGAAAACTATTTTAAACCTTTTGGAAATTAATATTTTATTTATATTTTATTTGATCATGGAAAGAGTGCCTCAGAAAATTTCTCTGGTCAATTGGCCAGTTTGCAATACATGCTATTTTTCATGGCCCTTTAATTTTATCCGACATAAAATTTAATATGATCATATACCTTTCTATTTTTACCTTGATTTGAATTTTATTGATAAAGACTGCCTGATACCTGAATTGATATCTATTTTGTACTTTATATTTCATTATATGGTTAATAATAATAATTTCATGTGAAGAAATATTCAAATTGAATGTAGAAAATGTATCAACCATTGTGGAATTTTTCTTAAGCTTAAATGTGTTTCTATAAAACGTTTTGTTATAATTATTTCATATATCTTTGCACATCCGTCCAAATTATATAGCAATTTTTCAAACATTGGAATAAAAGTCAGATTGTTATAAAACAACAACTTCTCTGCAATGGTTTTTTTCCCCCCTCTGGAAAGAAGGAACAACTGATACAATTTCTCCTTTGTTGTTCACATTAGTTAATGACCCTGTGTGTAAGGGTAGACAGTGCCCTATTCGTGGTCTTATCTGGCAGAAAGAAATGTGAAGCCGGTAGCATTCATATCTTACCATGTATTTTTCTTTCTTAATTTCAACATGCACTCATGAAAATCTTTAAACTAGTCTTCATGTGAAACTCTATTTGACTGCTTGACTCTTCTCTGTTTGAATTAGCAGGATTACAGAACATCTGAGGATCAGGGTGTGAAAACAGGAATATCTCCTTTAAAGATTCTACAGAATGTGCTGCTTGCTGTGCTCTACATTCAGAGAAAGAAAATCACACATGATGTTTACCTAAGTAGTAAGAATGTATCTATGGAGATCTTTATTTTCATAATAAAGTACTTTCTTGTGAAACATTTCTCATATGCTTTTAATATGTATAGGACTTTAAGCATCAGTTTACAATATAGATATTTCTAAGAGATTTAAAGTTTGATAGTGTTAGATTACTTATTTCTTAATATTCTACTGTCTAAAAATATTATTTGAAAATTTATTTAACCAGGAAATGAGGTAAGACAATAACATTCAGATCCGTTTTTATTAAATTTATTGGGGTGACATTGGTTAGTAAAATTACATAGGTTTCAAGTGTGCAATTCTATAATACATCATTTGTATATTGCATTGCTTTTTTTATTTAAAATTTTTGTAATTTATTCACATTGCTTCATGGATAAATATGTCATCATTTTTTAAGCTTTTTGAGGTATAATTGATATACAAAAAAATTACACACATTCAATGAGTTTCAGCATATGCATACATCAATGACACCATCACCACAACCAAGGCACCAAACATATTTATCACCTCCAAATATCCAAATATTTCCTGTGTTCGTGTGTGTGTGTGTGTGTGTGTTGTAAGAACACTTAACATGAGATGTATCATCTTAGCATATGTTAAAGTACACAATACCATATTGCTCACAATAGGTACTGTAGGTGATAAGTGATGATAGGTATGGGGAAATAGGAACACTAAGCTTAGGGGGCAACCATTTGACTCCAGCTTAATACACAACATCTGCAAAGGTTGTGATAACAGCTTCATCACACCCTCCTACACCCCAATGAATGAAGTGAGTCATGGAAGAAGCTAGCCACATTGGAAAGTTCCCTGGAAGACTAACATAATTAACTTCCTGATTAGAGAATATAAACCCCCAGCTAAACAGAAACTTGGTGCAGCCGTCTAACCTAAACTTAGCCCTCAGCAGCTCCTCTGCCAATGCTTCTTTTTTTTTCAAATTATTTTTTATTGTATATTGCATTGTGTATTCACCACCCAGAGTCAGTTCTCCTTCTATCACTATATATTTGACCCCCTTTACCCTCTTCTATCAACTTCCCCCCCTCTTACCCTCTGGTAAACACTAAACTGTTGTCTGTTATGAGTTTTTGTTTGTCTGGTTCATTTGTTGCTTTCAGTTTTACATGCCACATATTAGTGACAAATGGCAGTATTTCATCTTTTCTTATGGATGAGTAGTAGTATTCCAGTGTATATATGTACCACATGTTCTTTAAACAGTCATGTATTGAAGGACACTTTGGTTGTTTTCATATATCTTGGCCATCGTGAATAAAGCTGCAATGAACATAGGGGTACATATATCTTTACAGATAAATGTTTTCAGATTTTTTTTGAGTAGATACCCAAGAGAGAGATTGTGGATCGTATGGTAATTCTATTCTTAATTTGTTGAGGAACTTCCATACTGTTTTCCATAGTTACTGTACCAATTTACATCCCACAAACAGTGTAGGAGGGTTCCTTTTTCTCCACAGCCTCTCTAAAACTTGGTTGTACTTGTCTTGTTGATAGCCATTCTAACTGGTGTGAGGTGGTATCTTGTGTTTTTGATTTGCATTTCCCTAATCATGAAGTTGAGCATTTTTTCATGTCTGTTGGCTGTTTGTATGTCTTCTTGGGAGAAGTGTCTGTTTAGGTCCTCCACCCATTTTTTAAATTGATTGTTTTTATTGTTGTTGATGAGTTAGTTGTATGAGTTCTTTGTATATTTTGAATATTAGCCCCTTATCGGAGGTGTTGTTTGCAAATATCTTCTCCCATTCAGTTAGTTCCCTCTTTGTTTTGTTGATGGTTTCTTTTGCTGTGCAGAGCATTTTAGTTTTATATAGTCCCTTTCATTTATTTTTGCTTTTGCTTCCCTTGCCTTTGAGGTCAAATTCATAAAATCCTCCCCGATCCCAAGGTCCATAAGTTTAGTACCTATGCTTTCTTCTATGCAATTGTTTCAGGTCTTATGTTTAGGTCTTTGATCCATTTTGAGTTAATTTTGGTGTATGGTGACAGATAGCAGTCTAGTTTCCTTCTTTTGCATATGGCTGTCCAGAAAGCCTACTATATGTTGCTGAAAGGTCAAGGGAAGTAAGCAATGAAAATGTCTACTGGATTTAGCAACAAAGAGTTTGTTGGAAGCTGAGATGAGAGAAATTTCAGAGGAATTTTAGGAGTAGAAGCCAAATGCTAATAGATTAAGGAATGTGTTGGAGATGAGCAATTGGACACATCAAATGTAAACAATTTCTATAAGTATAGCTGTGCACAAAAGATATAAGCCAGTAGTTGGCTGGAATCCTGAGCTTTGTCGAGGGTAGTAGATACAGTGGTTGTTGCTGTTAGTGCTATGATGGCTTCAGCATGTTCAAAGACTGGTGGTGAGAAGGAGGAAGTAGTACGAGATTGTGGGCTAAGAGCAAAAATATAATTAAAAGAGCTAGATTACTCAGGAGGTGATAGGATGGATTCCAAAGCACAGGGAGAAAGATTAGCTGTACTAAGGAGAAAGGACTTCTTCCTTTGCAACAGAGGGCACAAAGGAAAGATGGATGCAACTGCAGATGATGTTGTAGGTTTGGTGGCCGGAAGGAATTTGAGAGAATTCTTCAAGCCACAGGCTCTTTTTAAAGTGTCTCTTCTCTTTGTCCTTACACTCATTTCCTTGTAACTTCACCTTTGTTCTTAACCTATGTTCTGTGACATAATCAGCATGATGCCTCTCTAACTGCTCTCTTGGCCTTTACTTCTTCCCACCCACTCTCCTCGAGGTGGTGAAAGGAATCTTTTTAAAATGCCAATCTGATCATGTTATACAATGAGTCGTAATTGCTTACCTGCCTGGCTCTTTTCTAGATTAGAGCCTTTGAAAGAAAGTATGTTATTCATTACTCTTTTCTTTTTTGTGCAATAAATGTTCAAAAAATAGTTGAGGGTATGAATGGCAAGTGACTTTATCCTTAACACCGTTGGAATCAAAGTCTCCTTTTTTTTTTAGATTCTCAGATGATATATTGCTGAACATAAGTATAAGGTCTTCTGTGTGATTTAGAGAACTCACAATCTTAAGGACTTCTTTTCAAAGCCACTTCCCAAATTGCACCCCCCCCACCGTCTCCCTCACTTGCATGTATCCTATTTAAGCCCATTTCTGCAAAATGTGTTCAATATTAGGTGAACTGTGTCTCCCCGCCAAAACAGATCTGGTGATGTCTTAACCCCTAGTAACTGTAAATGTGACCTTATTTGGAAATAGGATCTTTGAAGATGGAATCAAGTTAAGATGAGGTCGTATTGGATTAGAGTAGACCCTAATTCAATGACTGGCATCCTTATAAGAAAAGAAAAAATTGGACACAGAACACAGAGAGGAGAACACCATTGGAGTGATGCATCTATGAACCAAGGAACACCAAGGATTGTAGCTACGAAGAGGAAAAGAAGAGTTCTTCCCCAGAGCCTTTGGAGGAAGCATGGCCCTCTGATACCTTACCTTGATTTCAGATTTTTAGCACCAGAACTGTGAGAGAATAAATGTATGCTGTTTTAACATCCAAACAACCACCGTTCCCTAACTATATTATTTTTAGAAAAAAATACATTCTCCTCCACATAAACCATAGGGAATTTTGTTTATTGGGAGGTGGTAGGT